GACAGTGGTTTGTCCAGTGATTGAGGCTAGCTCTTTCTAAGGGACCCAACTGAATAGGTGTTTTCCTTCACCTGAGGACGGAAACAGATCCAGTTTCTGAAACGTCGTATTTTTATTTGTTATCTTAAAAACCAGGACGATGGATAAAGTCCAAAATCCCAACATATCAATCTTTCTAAATGTTGGTAAATGTTTACCAGACTTCGCAGTATCATATCTGAGAAGGCAGCCGTGAGAAACTCAAATCTCACACCTGTCTGGACATATAGAGAATTTGAAAACTTTTTTAGTTGCAAATCGCCGATACTCCAAATGTTCAATGGACTTTATACCTCTTCATACAGGAACTATTAGAAGGGATTGTGGCCAAGAAAGATATTGATCTCGAGATCTTAATTGATTTACAAGTTTAAACCTTATCAGAGTGAGAGTTAGTATTTTGACGAGTGACTGCCTCTGTGGTCTAGTGCTCAGAGTTCCTGACTACAGATCCAGAGGTCCCGGGTTCGATTCCCGGCGCTACCAGATTTTCTGAGAAGTAGTGGGTCTGGAACGTGGTTCACTCAGCCTCGTGAGGATAATATTGAGGAGCTATTTCAAGGAAACAGCGGCTCCGGTCTAGAAAACCGAGATTAACGGCCATGGGGATCCCTTGCCCTCACCACGCGACATCCTCTATCCGCTAAAGTTGTAGCGTGTAGAACAGTTGCTATGCAACGACCGCGTGACGGGCGGATATACTAGGCCCGTTTCTGGTCAACGGCTAAGTAAACAATTTCCCGTAGCAAAAGACATGAACGCAACAACATAACTGTGTTTTCTATGTGGCCCGTGCCGAGATCTTACAAGTAATGGAAAATGTTAAGAGTTCTGTACGGGAGTATATGAGGAAATTACTTGTGGAAATAGCAATATATGACCTATAAATGATCAATAAACATATTCACCAATCCGAACCCCATATACAGTCACACACACTACGTAAAAATTATGATGTGAAGGTGTCGTCTGGATTCATCTGGCTCACGATAGGGACCGCGGTAAGGCTGTTGTGAACACGCTAATGAACATTTTCGCTCTATAAAATTCTGGGGAGATTCTTGAGTGGATGAGCAACTACTATGGTTTGTAAAACGGAGAAAACAGCATTATAAACCCAAAGAAATAAATGAAAACCATATGCAGTGGGTATATATATATGAACGTATATTCTGTGATTCGTGATCTCAGAATCGCGTGTATACCGGCGTACAAAACAGAACGTGCATGCAGAGGATTGTGTGTACTTGCGCATCCTGTCTATAGGATTCAAACGAGAAGATAATAAAACAGAAACTTAAGTTCGACCTCAGAGTTCGAAACATGAAGGCGGGTGTTGTGATGCTGCTCCTTGTTGCACATATAATAAATATATCAAGCTCCACAAGTGAAATCCCACTTAATTCAGTTTATAACATTATAAAATCTGTGATGTCCGAGTACAGATCAACGTCTGTCAACATCTTATCTTACCCGACAAACACAGAAGGTGTGTTCATGAATTCTGTGATCTGTTAGTGCAGCTGAACAAAGCATAAAATTCGTAACTACAACGAATTATATTCCGGTCTAGAAAACCGAAATTAACGGGCCTGAGGATTTGTTGTGCTGACCACGCGACACTCTCTGTCCGCAAAAAGTTGGCACTAACTTCGCCGACAAGCGGCGATCGCTCGGTCGATATAGTTCGCTTGCCGACTAAAGGCCACGGAGTTTGTAGTTTTTCTCTCACAGCAGTTTCTGCAACGTAGAGGACATGCCAGAATTTAATTAGTTTTGTTTTTTTCCAGATTGGTTTAGAGTCCAGGAACTCATACGTCTCCTGAAGTTAGTGTCTACGCAATATGTTTCTGCAGGATCACCAGACGTGGTCATGAAACTTCTGAAGAATCACAATTTGAATCCCCTCTACGTCATACATACTAACTTCGCAACAAGGGAGATTGTAAAGCAGGTAAAGCATGTCTGATGTTGTGCCCGGATAGGGGGCATTGACTGTACTCACCCCCTATCGGACGTCCGTGGATATCTCTCAACCTGTGCTGTGCAAAACATGCTTGCACTGGGGGAATCCACAAATAATTCGAGTACTCACTAACAACAATAAAGTAAGGTATAATAAAACAAAACACTAGTACATCAAACAACACACAGGGTCTTCAATTCCTACCTTTTAACTACTCATAATATACTAACCCTAAATGACACAAATCAACACTTTGTATTTATTTCTCAAATAACCATTGAACCAGAAGCTCTAATCAGCAATCAGTGACCCGACCACGGGCAAGTAGTCACTCGCGCTGAACATGATGCACATGAAAAACACTGGCGCCATCCCAAGGTTTTCCACAGGCACACTTTGCTTTACTCGTCCGTTTCTCGCAACTGCTAGAAACAGAGTGTCTGAAACGGCCTGTTTTTTTTTTGAGTTCCAAGATTCAACTTTTTTCCCCAAGTCGCGAAAGCTGCGCGCGCGAAATCCCAGAGGTCGGCAGCTTGTCGCGCGAAGCGAAACCTGACCGGGGCTTTCCACTGATGCGTAAACAGTCTTTTCTAAAGACGATTCAATCGCCTGCCAAGGAATGCGAAGAGTCAGCCGCGGCTCTGTCTGTTCGCCTTCCGGTCAGCCGTCTGGCCTTTTAACCTAAACATCCAATCTTACAAAAATTATACTTAATAACTAATGAAATGGGCTCAACACTGAGCACAATTCTATGGCTGCATGTACTCAGTATAATAGTGTACACAAAAATCTCCGTGGCCTGTAGTCCGCAAGCGAATTATACCGACCGAGCGACCGCCGCTTGTCGGCGAGGTTAGTGCTAACTTTTGCGGATAGAGGGTGTCGCGTAATCAGCGCGACGAATCCCCACGGCCGTTAATCTCGGTTTTCTAGACCGGAAGTAGGGTACACAAAGGCGTTATAATAAGACTTTACTTAGAACTCGAGAAAGATATTAGGATTTTCAACAAATAAAGGTAAAGAAAACTGGTGAAGTTTACAAAATGAAGAGCCATTCTATTCACGATCTTAGAGTGACTACAGACGGGGTTTTGACTTGTGATCGGATTTGGTTGGGTTAATGATTACAAGTAATTATAACCGTTTCCCTAATTCACACACTTCACAATTCACTATTAGACACACACATACACACTAGTGTCCACAGTCACGTCTTCACTGCCGTTGCTTGGTAGCGGCTTCTAACGACGAACGCTCCCCATTCTCTGGGTTCTCCATCTGTTCCCGGCCTCAGCTGCCAGCTTCTCACAGCAAAAGCTCACAACGACTGAACCTCAGCAGTTCTCTAACTAAATCACTAACTCACTCACCAACCAACTAAATCAACTCCCCTCCCACTAACTGTTCTACTTATATCTTGGCAAGGACTGCACAGAAAACACTGATAATCTGTTTCAGTTTACAGGCCATTGCCTAGTATCGGCCCTTGTCTAGTTGTTTGTTTCTCTGTCGTTGCGTAGTAACGGGTCAACATGCTACAATATTTTTTTTTTTTCAATTGCAGTTTTCTGAAACAGGAAATATGCCGAGCGGCAGATGGCTGTTATTTCTCGAATCCATGACGTCACTGAAAGAATTCTTCGCCGACGTTTACATACCGCTCGACTGCGAGTTCCTGGTCGCACAGCGCTCGGGATGGACGGGGGAAGAACCCGAAGTGTCACTCACAGAGGTTTACAATCTACATTCCTCTCGTCAGGTTCAAACAAATTTGATTGCTAAATGGAGTTCCAAGGATGGACTCAAATGGTCTGAAACCTCCTTTTTTGAAAGGCGAGGAGACCTCCATGGCATTTCCTTGAAGTCTGCAATGATTCATGATGTACGTAATATATTTATTAATTTTGGAATTTATTTAATTCAGACTCTATAGGTCATTGATTTTTCGATATTTAAAAATGAGTTGGATGTTGAATGAAGTAGTCGTAACCTAATTTAAGTATTATTCCTGAATTTGCATGGAATGACTGAGGAATATCATGGAAACACTCAGGGTGTTGTTACGGCAGAAATTCGAAACCCCCTTCCTGAATACAAGTCAGAACCTTTATTACTTGAACCAATTGCCCTGTTCTGGCTTAACTGGTTCTTACTTTTGTCTTCGGCGAAGGACGGCAAGAACTAGGCAACGTACTTAACGAAACAACAAACGTTCAATGACAAAGGATAATAAGAATCAATTAATGTACAGCAGAAGAAACTTAAACAAATAATAAGCATAAAAATGAAAAGGATAACAGTAGGCAATTAAACAAGCACAAGATAGCAAGAACTAAGCGAAGTGGATAGAAAATGAAAACAGTAGATGGTACGCTTGAGTTTATACTTACGTAAAAACACATCAAATTGTACTGCCGTTCGACTGGGGGTGGGTAGTTACACAATACTTATACACTCCCTCAGCCAACTCTCTTTGGCTATTCCCGCCGCTGTCACCAAATTGCACAGCTCCAGTGGGGGGGGGCTCGTGAAATTTATTATAGACTGACGTAGCTGCCGCCTTGGCTTGAGTTTGCAATTCTCCTAAAGGATTCGGGGAGATGCAGGAGCATTCAGGGAGGATGGTAACACTTGAGGGAGGCTAGGTTAAATTAACATCACACGTCATTCCTATCCTATTCTATTCTTCTATATCGCTATATACATCTTATATACACCATTTGCCGACGTTTGTCGGTTCGCATTACATTCGGGTTATTATCCTGTAGTACACACACATTAGTTCTACTACGTCACCCTGCTATTGCGTATCCTCTACCTCTGTCTCTCTTTCTCTGTAAACCTAGTCCCTCTAGTCTTCACTTTCTCTCCCTGGGGTATGCATTTTAATATTATCACACTTAATGTTGTTCATGACTTATATGAAGTAGGTCCACTTGTACTGATGAAACAGGCACACACCACCAACCAACCTCTACTCGGCGCCATCTTTCTCTCGGCGATAGCCTCCGGCCGCACACTATTGACAATTAATAATAATAATAATTTTTTCCTCTGATCCCTCCAGCGTTTTTGTACTCTCTTTTTGCTGACTCGCTGGGTTCCGGGGGTGTATTCACCCACCCATCCTGACGTGTTTTTGGTCGGGGTGGCCCACTCTCATTGGCTGTTTATTGAAAGGGGGTTGGCTCTTTCAGGTCTACCGCCCTCTCCGACTCAGCGATTTCCTAATGCCCTAGTTTTTTATGTCCCACTTCATATAGCCTCTTCCTCAATGTCAGCCTTATTACGCTGTCGTGCTAACATGCTGATTACAAAGCTATTGCCTCACTACTGGCGTGAGACTTCTTTGCAAACCCCAGCTTCCTGGCACATTTCATTATTTCTATTTCTTAATCTTAAAGTCTAGGTACACTTATTCCAAATTAACACAAAAACATATCTACTTGTACATAACCTTTGGGGAATAACATACAGCAGAAGAAACTTAAACACATAATAAGCATAAAAATGTAAAGGAAAACAGTAGGCAATTAAACAAGCACGAGATAGCAAGAACTAAGCGAAGAGGGTAGACAACAGTAGATGGTACGCTTGTGTTTATACTTATGTAAAAACACAACTAGATGGCAGCACCGTTCAGCGCACAACATTATTCTATTAAATTAATTAAAGTCGTTCTAAATATAAAAAAAAATTATCTCACCAAATTAATATTTTTGACGACTATGTCTTTAAAATTTTCCATTTAAAATTTTTAACAGAATTTATGCTAGCAATAATATATGTTTTCTTCTTCCTCAGCCTCCATTTATTTATTTTCCGAAACAGACAGGACTCGATCCACCACATGTGTCTGGATATGCAATTCAGTTCTGGAACCTACTTCAAGAGAGACTGAATTTTACGTGAGTATGGTATATATTTAGATAACACGAACGACTGTCGCTATTCGGGCAATAAAAACAAGAAATAATTAATAGAATAATCACGCAACGTTATGGTCTGAAAGTCGCATTTATGAAGCCGAACATGAACTGAGTATATGAAATGAACTGAACTGATAAGATCAATTTCATCTTCAGGTAAATTACAACGATCTGCTCAAGCAAAATGTGTACTGCGTGTAGTTAGATCCTAAATGGTTCTGACGATGGTGTCTAACACTCAGAATTACGAGGTTTTCCAATCCGTATACCTCTTAGCAGCAATGAGGTTACCAACTCACAGAGATCTGTATCACGTCACAAATTATTCATGGGTTTCTTTTAGATTTTAGTCTCGGGCGTCGAGGTTTTACTCCATAGAAGGCGCTAACCGTTCAGGTTACCCACTGATGGATAAATTTCAATTGTTTTAGACCATAAATTCAGTTATTTTTAGGTAGGCCGCACACCGGTATGCGTCAAGACATGTAACAGTCAAGACACGATATCTGCGACATGACGCAAAGAAAGGAGCACAGTTGAAACGAATGAGATTATGAAAACCGCCGCACATCGGTCTGAGTCATGATGCTGACCAATCACGAATGAAACAAGACTGTATCTTTTGTCTCACGTCTTGACGCAGTTGGTGTGGCTGACCTTAGATTTTTAATACAAAAATGTTAAATGTTCTTATTAAATCGCGTTAAAGCGATAGCCCCGTTTGGGAGAAAAATAGTGTGACAGACGGACGGTTATTTGCCTATTATGCCTTTGTATACAAAATAATTTTAAAATACAGGTTGGAGAAGTTATTTCTGGAAAACGGAAGCCATGGGTCGCGGAACTCGGACGGCACGTGGAGTGGTATTGTAGGAATGGTTGCATCAGGACGAGCGGACGTGGGTCTGAATGTCATGACAATTACGAAAAGTCGCTTGGATGTAGTTCATTACGTCCAACCCATTGCCACATCTCGGTAAGCACAGACTCTCACATGTGTACCACGTGTGACCATTTACCTACTTTTACACGCTTTATTCTCCAAAATAGCGCAATAATTTTGTGGGCATTTGCTGTCAGTATCGAGACACAGCTCGGTAAGCACAGACTCTCACATGTGTTCCACGTGTGACCATTTACCTAACTTTACACGCTTTATTCTCCAAAACACCTTAAAATCTGGTGGGCATTTGCCGTTATATCGAGACTACATGTGTATAGCGTCGGATAATGGGATTTATAAATACGAATGGTAGGTTGAATGAGAATTGGAAGGTAACCCGAAGTAACAGGAGAAAACTCAATTTGTCCACAACAAATCCCACACAATCTGTCCTGGGATCGAAATCGGACCGTCAAGATTAGAAGCCGGCCACTAGCCGCCTAAGCTAGTGCACGGCCAGAATCATAATAATATCTGTCAATTAAAAATATAAGATATAAACCTTTAGTAAAATGACCACTTGGAAGACTAAGCAATAGAAGGGAGGATAACATTAAGGTGGGTAGTAAGGAGATAAGCTTGACAGGTTAGATGGAACTGTATAAGGATCGTGAGCTGTATTATTAAAGCTTCTATTGCACAAACTCTGAGCATAGCCGGTCTTTGGCCGAGATTCAAACACAGGACTTTTGGTGCGAAAGCCAGAAGCTACAGCGGAATCAATTCCCTCAGCGTCCATTGCTCTTCTTCCATGGAACTGATTAAATACCATTTAGTTCACTTGCTCAGCTACTGAAAAAAGAAATTCGCGGCTTCTCCGGAACTCGTAGGTTCATTACTGTGTTCACAAGAGTCAGCCACTTGTCCCAGCCCAGATGCATATGAATTCAGTGCATAATTTCACACAGAATTACTCTGAAATCCATTTTAACATGACCTGGTCATCTACGCCTGGTCTCCCAAGTGGTCTTTTTCTTCATGTTTTTCAAAACATTTCATATACATTTCACGTCTCTCTCGTGTATTAATAAAAAATAAACGTCCTTGAAAATAAACCTTTATGTCGAATCTGATGTTCTGATAATATGTAATTTAGTGGAAGTTTATCGACGTTTCGGAATTAATACACTGCCTCTATCATCAGAACAAAACGTAAGCCTAGGACCAAAGTACTGCTACTTCTTGTTTGTTTGCTTAGTTTACTGTTTAAACAATGAAGATGGAAACAGAAGTTTCTACCGAAACGTCGGTAAACTTTCACCAGAGCTCACGGCATTATTCTTAGAGACCTTTTAATGTTGTTAGGGTGACGGTGTACGTTCGGAAGCCAAATGCGACGTTCAGCCCTGCGAGACAAATTTTGACGCCATTCGCCCTTAAACTGTGGCGGGTAATTGGCCTTACTGTTCTACTAATTGCCGTCCTGCTTTCTGCAGTTTCCTACAACAGCAAAGAAACAGCCAATTACAGAATCTACAACTCAATATTTTACACAATCAACATCTTCTGCCAGCAATGTAAGTATAGTAATTATAAGATTTGAGGTCGTAGTAGCGGTGAACATGATGATTACTCTCTTCTTAATTGCGACATAATGACAGTTACTGACGTTTCGGATGTACTTTTAGCTTCCACCTTCAGGGTAAAAAAATAAATGTAATACCGAATAATAATACATATATGTGGAAAATGAGGATTGACACTGGAGAGAACCAACAGGAGTAAGTGAAACAGTATAAGGAATACTGGCCCTTCATAGGGCCGCTTATAAATATAGAGTAAATGGGAGGTGCAACGGTTTTGGATGAGCCAATCGTGAGAAACAGACTAAGGAAATATTGGGCCCTACATCCGTACGTCAACGCGCTGCTAATTCTTCAAATTTAAAGATAAAACCGGCAGGTTCTTCCGAAAAATGAATTATTTATCAGTCTACGCGGCGTCAGGTCCCAGACGAAAGTGAACTCCACAGTTTTTAATCCTTGCAATACTGAATTCTTTCCCAAAAAAAAAGAGTTGCGGAAGCCGGTAAACAGGTACAGCTATCCTTGTAACAGGCCGTGGAGGCCCATAGGGTTGTGAGACGTCGAGGATCTCACATTTTCTAGATAATCGGCTCACAGATGGCGGCTGTCAGCCTTACGCGCCGAGGTATTCCTTTACCAGGCCGTCGAGGCTCCCACATTTTCCTTAGACAATCGGCTCACAGATGGGGCGGTGAGTGTGTCAGTCTTACCACCAGGAAGACTCCTGGTTCTCCTTTGTGTCAGAGGCTGAGTCTAACGCAGGGCCATAGTGCGGCTGAAAGAATTAGGTCAATTGAAAATTCCAATGTCTTCACAGGGAATAGAACTAGCGACCTTTCGGCATGTAGCTTAGTGCCTCAATCAACTACGCTTTCTCGTGGCTCCCTGCGGACCCCCAGAGGAATATGAATCTTTTCGTGATGGTTGCCGAAAAATGACAGATAAACAATGACTTATTGATTAATTTCAATCCTAAATAAATAGTAAGCCGATAAAAATAATGGCAGGGTATGTCCAAAGTACATATCCGATAAAATCTATTTAAAATAATTTGAATCTGAGTCGCTGCAACATGGAAATGACATATTTCTTGCAGCTTCTTTTCTACCCCGTACCTGGCCCTGTCGACTGATCTGCCTTACTGCTTACGTCACCTTTATGGTACTGCTCATGGCTTACTCGGCCAGCTCCATATCTTATTTGACAGTTCAAAGATACCAGTTACCATTCAGAGATTTCCAGGGCCTCCTTGATGACGGAACTTACGGATTAGGCGTCGTTTATGACAACGCACATGAAGAATTACTTAAGGTAAGTCAACTATTCTATCACCGACAGCGACTGTGACGTGGATATATATAATCATGTAAATTAATGACTTGTAGACGGGGTTTGCATTGGTGAGTCAATTTATTGAATACTCACAAGTCGTAACTGCAATTAATTATAACACTCTCAAGATTAATGTAACTACAGCTCATAAAGTCTTAACGCCTGTTAACACTTCACAGCTGAATCTTCACAACTCCTTTCCGTGACAGCTCCGTGTTCTTGACTCACGATTTCTCAGCTATGACTTACTGGAAAGTCAAAGTCAAAGTTACTTTACGACTGGTGGTTTACTGCCAATCAGTTTGTCTTGACGTCAAGCCTCTTGAGACTCACGACCAGAGATGCTTTCCCCAACTGAACCCTTACGGTAATAGTACTTATGTAACAACCTCTCTGACAAGAAGTTGGGTTTGCCTGTTATGAATACTCTTTGCCTTTCGTCAAGTGTACATTTCGCTCATATAGCGTGTTATTGAAAAATTCTTGCTTTTTCACTATGCATAAGTCTTCTGTCAGTATAGGCTTTGCAGAGCAGATCATGCCTATCTTTAGTATCTTATGCTACAACGGCAACTTAATCACTTGAACTGTCGTAAGCTTGACCACCGCCAGATTTAAGCCTCTTATGCAAACGATATTCGCTGCCACCTATGAATGTTCGTCACGGACCACACAGAGAACACAGCTCCTATCGTTGCTAGGTTGCTGGAACGTGTATACCGAGTTGTTGCCTAGTAATGATCATGTATTGTTGTCACGTGCTTAAGCGAAAGTTGTTTATCCCGCCGTTGCGTAGCTCTACACTTTTTACAATACGTATGACGAGGAGGCATACCTGTCTCGTACTGATTGTCTGAAACGCATTTTAGGGTACATCATAACTCGAGTAGGCAACCTTACTGAACAAGGCTTCTGTGTTTCCAAAGAAATCTCCAGTATGGTGATATTGGTTCCCATCGAGATCATAATCTAGTGACTTAATGATGATGATATAACGATCTAAATCACTATTTCATGATGACGCAATCTCAGAGATAGTTTAGTTGAAGTATTCTGGCTACCAAGAGGAAATTCGCGAAATGAAGGTTGAAGACACCTCACCCAAAAACTCACATCCCAGGAAGTCACAAAACTTCATATCCACAGCCTTCAGAAATTAAATTCCACATTATGATCAATTGTATGTATGAATCCTTTCAGAACTCGAAGAATCTGATTATAAGAAAAGCCTACAAAACATTGGTTGAGCCGAAGAGACAGAAACTTCCACGAAGCACAGTGGAAGGTCTGCGCCGCTTATGTAACGAGGATAAGTACAGCTTCTTCTGCTCCAAAATAATGGCAAAAGGACTCATGCAAAATTTGCCATGCAGTGTTGTTGAAATCTCTGAAATGTCCTACAGGATAACAGTTTCTATGGTCATCAGTAAACAGAGCCCTTACAAGAGATTCTTCAATAGCCTGTAAGTACACGATTACTAGGCCTTTTTTATATTTACAATATTTTTCTACAATAAAAATCCCCACGTCCGGTAATTTCGGTTTTCTAGACCGGATCCGCTATTTCCTTGAAATAGCTCCTCAATAATCCTCACGAGGCTGAGTGGACCTCGTTCCAGACTCACTACTTCTCAGAAATATCTGGTAGCACCAGGAATCAAACCCGGCACCTCTGGATCTGTATGCAGGAACAATGAGCACTAGACCACAGAGACGGTCAACTTTCATATGTTAATTTGAACAGTAGATTCCTTCGAGCAGGGTCTTTGAGAAAGGGTCGCGGTCCTGTAATCCTTTTATTGGTTTTGTAGCGTCAAAGATTAATGTGCTCTTCATAAATTAGTGTTTTGCCATATGAGGCATGGGACAATTAAATACTTATTGTATTTATTTAGTCATACATTTTTAAATTAACTTAATAACTTATTTGGCCGCGCCACAGCTCAAGCGGTTAGTCGATGGCTTCCCACCGCGGCGGCCCGGGTTTCATCCCGGGTCTGGTCAAGTGGGATTTGTGGTGGACAAAGTGGCGCTGGGGCAGGTTTTTTCCGAGTACTTCGGTTTTCCTTGCCAATCTTCATTCCACCAATTGCTCCACAATCACCCTCACCTATCATCTGGGGCTGGTACAATAGGCCAGAAGTGGCCGCAGTACAAGGGACTTAGTCCCACCCCACGAGCAATAAAAAAATACTTGCTGAACAATATATTTTGTCACGTGTAGGGTGGTACGCGTGACGAAAATGACGGGTTCTAGTTCGGATGATTGGATATATTAACACTTTGGTTACAGTCTCTCTTAGTCGCACATAAATACAGGCAATACAGCGCTCTCGCTGACTCACACACTTCCCAGTTCGCTGTTGCACACACACTAGTATTCCCAGTCTTCACTTGTCGTCTCCTGGCAATGGGTCTCGACACAGAAACTAGCACTTCAAATCACTATGAAGTCCTCTTGCCATTTCTTGTTCAATCACTCTGGAATTCAACTGCACACTGTCACTGTCACTTAAAAACTGAAATCCGTTGTCTGTAACTGTCGTCATATAGCCTCCGCACCGACCACACAGAAAACAGCCCCTATTGTTGTAGGGGAGTGTTTACCGCGACGTTTTGTAGCAACGGTAGCGGCGCGGACCGCATATGAAACGCCGTACCTCTATCGTTGCATCGTAATATATATATTACGGACGTTACCTTCCAACGGCCGATGTTTACAGATTCACTGGTAAGCAACGGGTCTATACGCCACTATATAATTGAAATTTGCTTAGCCATATCACATATTTCGAAAGAAAGCTGCTGAAGAATGAAGTGGTCTTTGAATACCACGAACTAGATTAAACTCGAATTAATTCTAATAGCATTTTAAGGAATCTTAATTTTAGCATAGAGTCTAAACATACTTTTATGTTAATACATATCTCTGAAGACTGTACACGCAAAGTATCTGCAGATGTAAATCAAATGTGCTTATACAATTTTCAGTTTGAAAACAAAATCTAAACACGTTTTCGTGTTAATACAGTTTATGAAGTTGTAAATGCAAGGTATCTACACTTGTAAATCAATTCTTTGTATGTAAGCCTTCAGTTTGAGCAAACATAGAAACATGTTTTCATGTTCGTATACTTTGTAAGGATCCTACACTCAGTTACTCTTATCTGCTTAATGTTCCAGTCTCCTGGACTTCAAAAGCACCGGAATAATTCATAAGTTCGATCAAGAATTTTGGCCACGGTTGTTGGAAGACAGAACAAATGAATATCTCACGGCTGTTACTTTCGAAATGGTGAAGATGAGCTACTCCATCTTGGGAGCAGGGATTTGTATCTCGGTCCTGGTCCTATGTTTCGAGCGACTGTTTCAGAAGAGGCGAATCAGAATAACAGCTGAGCCCATTCCTCCTCTCTGAGAAGCTTATAGTCGTTCAAGCAGTATCTAAGGGGTTCTGACAATAGTGTATAACACACAGAATGACTGGGTTCTCGGAATTTGGCCATTATCCGATATTCTAGAAACTAGAAAACAATCACAAAGTTAATAGAAAGTCCGTCGAGTGTAACAATTTGTAGGTCACTTTTTATTATTATTTCTGCCTTACATGTTTCGGTTTGACACAACCAAAAGTTATACTTAAACTTAAATTAAAACCCTAAGCAAAGTGCCCACAAGTTATACTTAAAGTTAAATTAAAACCCTAAGCAAAGTGCCCCTAGTTATACTTAAATTTAAATTAAAACCCTTAGCAAAGTGCCCACAAGTTGTACTTAAAAGTTAAATTAAAACCCCAAGCAAAGTGCCCACAAGTTATACTTAAAGTTAAATTAAAACCCTAAGCAAAGTGCCCACAAGTTATACTTAAAAGTTAAATTAAAACCCCAAGCAAAGTGCCCACAAGTTATACTTAAAGTTAAATTAAAACCCTAAGCAAAGTGCCCCTAGTTATACTTAAATTTAAATTAAAACCCTTAGCAAAGTGCCCACAAGTTGTACTTAAAAGTTAAATTAAAACCCCAAGCAAAGTGCCCACAAGTTATACTTAAAAGTTAAATTAAAACCCTAAGCAAAGTGCCCACAAGTTATACTTAAAAGTTAAATTAAAACCCCAAGCAAAGTGCCCACAAGTTATACTTAAAGTTAAATTAAAACCCTAAGCAAAGTGCCCGCAAGTTATACTTAAAAGTTAAATTAAAACCCCAAGCAAAGTGCCCACAAGTTATACTTAAAGTTAAATTAAAACCCCAAGCAAAGTGGCCATTACATTCCGGCAGACACAGAATATAGTATGACGTCACAGATTAGGCTTTATTAGACTTCTGACAATAAAAGAATGATCTGTTTCTTCCAACAGCAGCGAAAGTGAGAGAAAGCATTCATTTCAAAGAAGCCGATTTTTTTTAAATGCCTTTGAACACTTCAAGCCACGAAAAGAGGAAAGAAACAGAGAAACTTGAGCAAGGAAAAATATCGGAATAGTACATCGACTAAGCCACGACAGTTTTCTTCAAAATCACTTCCAGTTCATCATTCATCAGTCATCCTACCAATCGATGCTGCACTCTGGTTACTAACAGTGTCTTAAAATAAATCACACGAACACATATGCGTCACTGAAAATGAATGCTGTAAGGGGTCTGGGAGTTTCGAAGAAGACAATATTTTTTATCCTTCGTAGGACTCAACCCACGTTCCTTCAGTCTTCCATTAACGACATACACAGTGTATACAGAAACAGCTTTAATTGATCCATTTAGAGGACTTGTAGATTGTAGTACTCAGCCTCGTGATGATAATTGAGGAGCTATTTCAAGGAAATAGCGGCTCCGGTCTAGAAAACCGAGGTTAACGGCCATGGGGAATAGTTGTGTTGACCACGCGACACCCTCTATCCCATAAAATTGGCACTAACTTCGCCGACAAGCGGCGGTCGCTCGGTCGGTATAGTTCGCTTGCGGACTAAAATCACGGAGTTTCTTTTTTGTTTGAAGATTATAGTAACGAATAAAAACAAAAATCAGTTTAAAAAAAGTTATAACTTTAAAATATCGTTTATTTTTACACTCTTTTTAAAAAATTACAGAGATTTAACATTGTTGTTAGTGTTAACATTGTTACCAGCAGCATATTTTGGTTTCCCGTTTAGTTAGGCACATCACTCCGCGTCCTCGGCCTCTTCTTCTTCAGCCACTGACTCTGGCACGCAAGTTCTTGTGTCTCGTGAGCACACAAGACCGGTGGAGCACTCCACCACTGGTGGGGGGCCGCCAATCATGAGAGTGATGCCACAGTCACTTCCCTCCTCTGAAAGAGACGTAGAGAAACGTGAAACCGAGGGACGGAGATAGGGCAACATAATACGGAGAATCTCATTCTCGTCGGAAAACGGAGATAACAACACTCCAGTATTCAGACGACGAAATACCACAAGAATAACTAATTTCACGGAGCTGTGTCCTTGAGAAGCCAAATCTTCAGCATTTTATGGAACCCGAAAGTTCATTACCGTGTTCACAAGAGACCTCCATTAGTCCCTATCCTGTGCCAGATCAATCCAGTCCATACCACCCAATTCTAAGATAAATTTCAATATTATCCACCCACCTACGCCTTGATCTTCCTAGTGATACCAAAAGAATATATGGAGGTTTGGTCATGACAACTTTCTTAGAAATCCTTTTCCAATTCGTGTATCGTCCAACGATCCGACTCCATGAAATGAAAGCATCTTCAAATAAGGAAACAAATTAGTTACCTAGTTGGGTGACGCAGGTTCGACAGCAACCACACCATGTCCCGTGTTCGTTGAGGCGCTGGTTGGCAGTGCAGGGCGGGGCGTTTTCTCCGGCAGCAACAACGCAATCTACAGTGCTGCAGAAATCTTCTGGACAGCGAATTGCGCATGCGGCGATAGCCACGCACAGAGCGAAGACGGCGAGACGAAGAGTCACTGACATTGTTAATGTTCTGTTGCAATACAAGAAACAACTTCTTGTTATCCCCACGAAACCAGAGGAAGTACAGACATAAGAGAAATTGGGGAAGGGAAGTAAACAGTCCTTCTTAAGCAGCGAATGATTCCTAGCTTGTGATTGGCTAGCACCCGATCCACTGTGGGTGCTTCCCACAGTCACATATTGTTGTAGACCTTACCTAGCAACGACGCTTTACTCACCGTTGCTAAGCAATGATACCTGAGCTGTCACTGTAACGTTTGCTTGAATGTGGGCAGTTCCCACAAAGGTAAAAAATGGTAAAGCTATCCTTGTTACAGGTCGTAGAGGCCCATAGGGTAGTGAGACGTCGAGGTTCCCACGTCTTCTAGACAATCGACTCATAGACAGTACATTTAAGAGGTGAGCAGAAAATATTTTCTGCTTTGAAAATTCTCAGGGTCTTCCCGCTCTTCGTTCTGGGAGAGGAATACCTGAAATAGGGTAAAGCGTTGGGAAGTGAAGAAGGGAAATTATTATGAAGTGCTGAAACCTGAAGATTTTCTTCTGAATAATATGTAAGAGCAGTCCCTGTCTTACAGGAAGCATTATCCATTAAGAACACCAACCGTTTAAATACATTTAGGGAAAAAGATCTCTGTTCATTCTGAAAATTATACGAAACACTGTCACGTGTATGAGTGTGACTACATGTAGGATTTGGATTGGTAACGGGATTTATTGCGCACTTACAGATCATAACTACAAGGAACTGTAAAGCTATGGCTAATTTACATTCTGCAATTTACTACAGTATACACAAAGACTTCTTAGTTTGTTTTCACTAACCGTTTCCTGGCAATGGATCCTACCAATGTCCTCTACTTTCGCCCTTATTGGCTGGCGAATATCTCACAATAAATTAAAATCTAAACTTACCCTTCCTATAACACCTCGGCATGGACAGCGTAGAAAACACCGCTGCTCATTGTTGTAGTTAATCGTTGCCGTGGTAACATGTTTGTTTGAGAAGCTGTTACTTAGCAACGGCTACCGTATATTTCTTTATCCCGCTATCGTTGCCTAGCAGTTGGCATTATTTATAGAGTCATTACTTAGTAACGGGTCTTCGTGGTAAAATGTAAATATATCCTACGTGTTAAATCAGAGGTTTTGAATATTAGAGCACGTGTACACATAGCAACTGTAATCCTTAGTGACCTTAGTTATGCTTGGAGCCTTAGCAAACTCAAGTAACGTAATGTTAAAGAGTTGTTTGTCTCATTCTGAGTAGTCAGTTGACGGCCCCAGTTGGCCGGGACTGTTCCAGATGCTGCCTTGTGCTGGGCGTCTCACTCCTCACTTACTTCCTTACTTATGGAGCTGAGCCCTATGGAGCTGCGCCCTTCTGGAAGAGCCGCCAATTCTGTAGCTACTCAAGAATTTCCCAGCATTTTATGGAAATCGAATGTTCATTGCCGTGTTCATAAGAGCCCACCCTGGTCTCTGTCCCAAGCCGGATCAAATCCAATCCATCCCATCTCTAAGATCCATTTTAATATTGTTCACCCACCTACGTCTTGGTATTCCCAGTGGTTTCTTTCCTTCTGGTTTTCTCACCAATATCCTATAAGCATGCCTCGCCTACCCCATTCATGCTACATGCCCTGCCCATCTCATCCTCCTTGACTTGATCATTCTAATTATACTTGGAGAAGAGTACAAGTTATGAAGCTCCTCATTATGCAGTTTTCTTATAGAAAAATGTAGAGTCTCCTGCTGGTGCGATGCCACCTACATCCCATCTGACTTCCTGCACTCCCGCTAAATGTAGGTTATATTTTGAGATTTCTTCTGCCACTTCCCTGAGCGAACCTGCCCTATACATACTTCTGACGTTCCAGGTACCGAATGTCATGTCTATTTTCTTTAGCCTGGGCTGCTTATCCAGAGGATCCGTCCAGGTCCGAGGCTTTGTGTTCACTTGCGTAACACTCCTCACTTAGATTACTTTAATATACATGTATTAATTAATGAAATAAAATTATTTTAATTCCTTCTTTTCTGCCTTTAGATTTACATCCCATACTTAAATACGAGGGGGCTATACCTTATTGGATGAAGCATCCGGGATATGAAACTGACCAGTGGGGTGGGACTAAGTCCCTTGTACTGCGGCCACTTCTGGCCTATTGTACCAGCCCCAGATGATAAGTGAGAGTGATTGTGGAGCAATTGGTGGAATGAAGATTGGCAGGGGAAACCCAAGTACTCGGAGAAAACCTTCCCCAGCGCCATTTTTCCACCACAAATCTCACTTGACCTAACCCGGGCCGCCGCGATGGGAAGCCAGCGACTAACCGCTTGAGCTATGGCACGGCCCTAAGACTGGGGCAATACTTCCACTCCATTATATGTGAATTCTGTTGTGAGACTTCGTCTCTCTTACATTCTGGAAAAAGGGGACATTAAACGGAAAAAGCTACTAGTTTTCACGGATAGAAGTCTACAGCATTGACTGAGGGTGTTGAGGAGAATAGTTGGACTGAAGAGGGATGAAGTGACATGAGGTTGGAGAAAACTGCATAACGAGGAGCTTCATAACTTGTACTCTTCTCCAAGTGTAATTAGAGTGATCAAGTCAAGGAGGATGAGGTGGGCAGGGCATGTAGCACGAATGGGGAGACGAGGAATGCGTTTAGGATATTGGGGGAAAGCCAGAAGGGCAGACCCACTAGGAAGACAAAGCTGTAGGTGGGTGGACAATATTGTAACGTGTATGGACACAGTGTTGCTAGGTAACTGACCGTTAAACACATCGCGACCGAATACACGCAAAATAACAATGGGTGTGCGGTGTTTTCTATGCGTTCGGAGTCATGACCGTTGTTATGCGAACGATCGGTAAACACGTTCCAACAATATAGGCTGTTTTCTGTTCTTGGTCCGTGCGGAGGCTATATAAAGAGATTAACGCCAGGAGTTCAGTTCAGTTTAGTGTGTGTTCAGTGTTTGAGAGCGTTTGAGTGTGTTTAAGTAACAGCAACAGGAATAACAACGGAAAGTTCGTAAAAGAGCTGTGAAGATTTAAAATGTGATTTGAAGACCTTAATTATGTGCAATATTTGGAATGATTTGAAGCGCTAATTTCTGTGTTGAATTAAAAGTCTATATACAAGTATTGAGTCCGTCAATAATGCAAAAATAATTAAAATAGATAAATAGATAGATACATAGATAGATAGATAAATAGATAGATAGATAGATAGACAGATAGATGGATAAATGGACAGATAGATAGATAGATAGATGGACAGATAGATAGATAGAATTACGGATAGATGGACAGATAGTAGATGAATAGATGGACAGACAGTAGATGGATAGATAGACAGAAAGATAGATAGATGCAAATGAGCTGTGAGCTTCACGCTCCCGCCACCTTATGCCCAGAGAAAGAGTCTGGCGAGGTCCGGTGCTTATGCGGATGCTGTGCAGAAGACGAAAGCGACTGCTACTTACGGTTTCCGAGCTTCTCTTGCGACTTAGCCCAGCGAAGACAAAGTTGGTTCTGTAAATACCAATGGTGTTCTGTTTCCGCTGCTTTTATACTAAACAGCGACACTACTATATAATGTATTAGTCGCTTTTATAATTTTAGTGTAATTCCTTTGCACATATCAATAAAACTGTTTACGGCCCATTAATGCCCATTTATCTTCTTCACTAAGAAGTCTGCTCCAGTATCCAAGGTTAATTATCAACGAAACGACCTTGTTACGCGATCAACAGACGGAAAGAATTTCAGGCGAGGCGACACATCGCACGCAACGTAGGGGAAGTTTCCATTAGCTCTCCGGCGGTGGAACCAGAAGGTTCAACACCGTTTGTATGAAAGCCTGTTATATTGCGCTGTAACCTTGCATAGTCCGTTGAATGTCAACAGAAGTTTCAGAAGAACATGTCGCATCCATCCTTAGGGTCGAAAAATAAGCTACACAAGAAAGAAACGTGAAGCAAATAACAAACATAGCTTTACATTCCTGAAGCTGGAGGCAATACGTTCCTCCGAAACGTCAGCGAACTTCCACAGCACTACACGATGTTACATCCATGAAACAGTACTGATCAGAGAGAGAGCGAGTATTGTTGGCAGAGCCATCTATCGGCAGAATCATCGTTATCTCCAACCAACACATTCTGCGCACCGTTACATAATCTCAGGCAACAAAATTGTATTATAAAAAGAGATAAAGATAAGAAAGGATAAAGTTATTAGCGTGCTCAATTAATTAATTAAACACAATTCCATGGAGACGTGGAGAATGGAGGTATAACTCCAACCATTCTTGACCTTGGCAATAGATGGAGATGAGTGGTCAGCTTCACTCCCCGGCCGCTTTACCTCGGGTACTAATTGGGTAAGAGAGTGACTGGGTTTTAGAGACGGTCTGAAGGGTATGGATTACAGAAAAATCTCTTGTCCCTTGCTGGAATCGAACCCTGGTCGTACACCACGTAACACGTCGCTATACGTCTTTATGTCGACTGATCTACCCGGGCTCTGACATGTGCAAATTATGTTCTCTTCACTGTAAGTAATATGACAGTACGCAACAGCGCGTATCTGTTTCCACATGTCTTCTTTGTGCCCACGTTTCCACCAGGGTGAACTAATTTCGCTGTATTGTTTCGCAATTTAGGCCCTTGCCTGTTTAGACTATCACGTCGGATGGCAGACACGTGTTTGCAGAAGTTCTTATGGCGTAACTCAAACTCTATATGACCTTGGAACAAGAGTTATAAAATTTCTGTTGAGAATTTAAGCGTAAACATTCTATCCGCATGAAAATATACTTGGTTGCTATGCACTAAAAAACATTATTTAACATACTGCCATGTAGTATGGGGTGATTGTCGAGGTGGTTTTGGATTGGATATCGAATTTATTGACCACTTATACGCAACACTCAGAACTACAAACAATTACAGCTCCACCGCTAAACTCCACGACTCACAAATCACCACAACACATGCTAAGTCTTTTCCAGCCTGTTGTGTCTTCACCAGCCATCCCCTGGCAACGGCTTCTAACAGTGGAAATTCTTCAGTTTCATGAGCTCAAGCCTTCTCTGAATGGCGGCTCCCTTTAAACCGTCTCTTTTCCACACAGACTCACGTAGAGAACTGACTCGGTTGCCCCAGTTGTCTTCCTTATAAATCCTTTGCATGGACCAAGTAGAAAACACCGTTTCCAACAGTATCTCTATTATTGCATACATATTCATTGACGCGGGAACGTGTTTACCGAGCCGTTGTCTAGAAAGGGATGTTGTTTCATAGCCGTTCGCTAACAACGGCTGTTTCTCTGGCTCCACAGTTCTTGCTTTGAGCTAATATCAGAGCACGTAGTGAAGAAATAAGTATATACAACGTTCTAAGTGTAAATATTATCACATTTAATACCACGGTATATAAAACAGTGGGTCGCAGCAGCCGAGGGGGGCGGGAAACGAAAAATTCTCCGGTATTATTTGAAATACGGTTCAAACCAACAACAATTTTAGAAATTCGATAATACTTAATGTAGATGCCTTCGAAAAAACGTTGATGTAGCCGACGAGATATTTCGCGAAATTCCCTTGAATCTACAGGAACACTTTACAGCTTGCAGTATGTGTAGAGAGGTTGTGAAGCTAATGAGATATGTCTTATAAAAGTCAGAATTGTGAAGCCAGCAGAGACAGCCGTTGATAAAGAACGGCTCTGCAATCACGCCTGTTACTAGAGAATGGCTCAGTAGCCGTCACTCGATGGCCGCGAAAGTCACGTAACAACAGAAGAAATTTTGGAAGCGGTGTTTTCTGTGCGGTCCTTGTCGAGGCCATATGACGAGGACTAGCAGTCAGCAATGGTTTAAATTATAAGCGGCTTAAACTTGACGGCGGTCAATCATAAGACCTTTCAAGTTACTAGACTGCCGTTGTAGCGGAAGCTACTAGAAATAGGGCATAATCTGCTGTACTGAGCCTGGACTGACAGAGGCCCTGTATATATTTTATATACATTTATTAACATGTAAAATGTAAATATCATTTACGTTATGACAAATGACTTACTACTGCAGACAATGACTCTGACAAAAGACAGACCCGTCCTCTCGTCAGAGAGGGCGCCCACAATAAAAAGACCGAAACAATCAAACAGCAATAAATACCTGGTCATAAGCCCCAGATTGGGCTCGGCACCTAGACTGACTGATTGACCGTCAGTAGCAATGTGACTTTGACTCTGACTATGAGCAGTGGATTCCTTAACAATATGTTGCCTGATGGTGACCCTGTATGACCAAAACATGTAGCATAAACATAGAACATATATTTTTAATTATATTTTGAAACATTTTAATGACTATTTTAGTGAATTAGGCGTGGATTTTTTTTTCCTTGGCACTACAGCCCCAGTGGGCCTAGGCCTAACTCCATGAACTCCATTCACTTCGGATTTTCTAGATCTTACAATTTGGTAGGGCTCCTTGGGCGGGTGATCAGCTCGTCGCAAGGCTTCTACCTGTACACAAACACAGAAAAACGCACACACACAAACTAAACATCCATGCCCTGAGTGGGATTCGAACCCACGATCCAGTTTGCAAGCGAAACAAGACAGTTCATGCCTTAGACCGCTCGGCTACCGTGACCGGTTTAGGTGTGGATTAGTGTCGTGTAAATCTATACTGATAGTGTTACATTACAGACGCAAGAAAACTAAGTGATACAGAGCTTCAACTCTGATAGTGCACTAGGCTGGTTAGAGGACACACTCATAAACACGGCCTCTTGAGTTTCACGAGATTCCTAAACAAACCACCAAATTATCACACTTTCGATCTTCAAGTTTGGGGGCTTCATAACTTACCCGGCATGTGGCTGGTTACAGAACAATGAACTGAAGTGTTATATGGTTAATTAGACACTTAGAGAAATAGCTCGTTAACTGTAGAACACAAAATGCCAAGAGTAAACACGGACAGTTTTTTTTCTGGGGGGGGGAGTGGGTGTAAGTCACTGTGTATCAAATAAGATCTAAAAGTTTGTGATGATGGTAAATTGTTACAATCAGTATGTTGCTGGACATTATCCATCATCATGTCTGTTCTTAAAAAACCGNTCCCGAAACGTTGTGTTTTTAATAGAAACTAGACGGTTTTTTAAGAACAGACATGATGATGGATAATGTCCAGCAACATATTAATTGCAACACTGTGTATCAAGTTTGCCATCAAATGTCTCAACTAATGAATTTTAGATAGTAATCAGTATACAAAATTAAACTTCAAGTATGTGTTGCAGGACTTTCTATTATGAATACAGTAAACATCAAGAAAAGGTTCTCTCAATGTTCTTGAGCCACGTCTGTACATTTCTTCACACCCACAAAAACTGTCGAAAGGACGTCACATCGGAAGTACCAGAAATTAATCAAATGATATCTTAGCGTGACTCAGTCACTGGTCTTCGGGCCACATGATATTAGTGGCTTCTCTATTGGCTTAGAGACATAATCGGAAGTCACGAACAGTTCAGTGTAGATCCACAGACTATGAGGAACTTGCGGAAAGACACAAGTGCAGAAACTTAAAGCGATTTCATGAGATAACTGAACACAGAAGTGGACCCAAATTTATGCTTCGAAACATCAGTGGATGAGCATGAATTTCCTTGATGCTCGTGTCGTCTGTGTTTTAAGTGTCATATTATGTTTCCGGGTGAACGCATTCGACTTTCGAACAGTAGCTCAGGTTACAACGGACGTCATTACGAAATATAATTCTGCTTGTGTGTATCTCATGTATACTGAGAAGCAACAAGGTGAGCGATCGCTACTTCAAAATACTGTATATGAAGAAGTTCCCGCTAAATCCTAAAGTGATCTTTTAAAGCAATATCCCTTCTTTTTTCCCCCTACAGAGTCGTTTTATCTGGCAAGAATGAAGAAATCGTTGTCAGGTATCGGCGTGTTTATTACAGATAAACTGATGGAGAAATTATCCGACTCTATGTACGGGAATCAGCATAGGCCTCTGTACGTTATTTTCTCCAGTCACATTACTACTAAATACGCTCTGTTGCAGGTAAAAATATCCCCTTTTTGGTGAGTTATTTAAAGACGCTGAGGATAGCTTAGAAACCCGAGTTTAACGGCCATGGGGAACCGTTGCGCTGATCACGTGACACCCTCTGTCCGCTAAAGTTGGCACTAACTTCACCGACAAGCGGCGGTCGCTCGGTCGGTATAATTCGCTTGCGGACTACAGACCACGAAGTTTGTCTTGTTTTTTAGGAAAGCTAGGTGGTCTAGTGGTCAGAGTTTCTGGCTACAGATCCAGAGGTTCCGGCTTCGATTCCCGGCACTACCAGATTTTCTGAGAAGTAGTGTGCCTGGAACGGGGTCCACTCAGCCTCGTGAGGATAACTGAGGAGCTATTTCAAGGAAACAGCAGCTCCGGCCTAGAAAACCGAAATTAACGGCAATGGGGATTCGTTGCGCTGACAACGCGACACCCTCTATCCGCAAAAGTTGGCACTAACTTCGCCGACAAGCGGCGGTCTCTCGGTCGGTATAGTTC